AATTTCTAAACTGGGAAAATATTAATCAGCGTAAAATAGTTTTTGTCTAGTGTTACAGTTCTAATAGAGATGTTTATTTTCTACCATGACAGAAATTTTATGTATGGCCAAAAAATTTGAAGTCCCCCTTTTGCAGTCCCTAAATTTTCAGATCACTTCCCCCCATAGTATACATAATGAATACAGCCTAAAACGTAAATGTTGTAAAAAAGCACTTGACACAGACCAACCAATAAAGTGTGAAGAAACTTTGACTTGACTCTCTTGATGCAAAACTTTAAAAAATTTCCTTTTTGTCCAGGTATGTTTAATAAAGCTAAGTATAGAGATAAGAAAGATAATACTTCTCAAAGTTAAGGTTCCAGGCAAAAGAATCAGGTCAAAGAAACCTTGAAATATCTTCATGATATTCTCTTTGCATGAAAAGATTTCTTTCCTCTCAAAGCTGGTAGCCCATAACCTGCCATAAAAGAGACACAAACAATNCCCTGGATTGTACAGAGTTCAAATCCACCGTCGATAAGACTTAACCAGTGTATAGAATTCGTATAGATTCCATCCGCTCGATAACGATTTATCCGTTGTATAGCGCTATTCACCCTTCGTAAACCGTACATTTATTCGTAAACATACATTTATTTTGGCTTTTGAATGAATGTAAGTGATCATATATCTGCAAAGCACATGTAAATCAAGTCGTAGTGACATTCCCTCATCTTTGATGGCATTTACCGGTAACAGGCGGTGAGCGCTCTCTCCCCGAAAAGTATCATTTGGCAACATGTTAGCCTGTGTAAAACGGATGTACACAGGCTATTACATGTACAACACTGTTTTTTATGCATGAGTGTTATAACTGAACTGAATTTGTTAGTTATAAAATATTTTGCTCATTGGAAGAATGTCTAATGAATAATTCATGAGTTTTAGAAGTAACCTTGTAACCTTATAGTTTTCATGTTCTGTAGCTAAATGTATAATTTTATTAACATGAAAAAATTGCAATGTATAAAATCATCTCAATTTTTGGGCTTTAGCACTCTTGCCTGGTAGTCATACAAGTGTAATATTGTTGGCATTGATAATGACAGAGATCAAGCAAACAGTAAACATCAGTGTAGAGCCAGCATCAGTGTCATGTTGACAATACAGGAAACCGACATGTATGAGAATAATCAATTTCAGATACTTGTACAATACATTGTGGTACATGTACATGTATATGTGCAAAGGTTTACAGAATGAATGTAGTTGCAGTAATATTTTGAATTTAATTTGCCATAGGCTCAGTATTCAACTGTCAGGATTTCATACATGCAGCAATACTCTCTCTGATTGGTTTAGAGCCACAATAGAAAGAATTTTCAATTTTGAATTTGTTATTTATTTGTGTCTTTAGATTTCAGCAGATATCAGCATGTGGTACCAACGTAAAGACATGAAATTTCACATAGACATCCACAAGTTTCCATTACTCTATAATTTCATTTGTATGTTTTTAGTGTATTTGTAATTTCTAAACTGGGAAAATATTAATCAGCGTAAAATAGTTTTTGTCTAGTGTTACAGTTCTAATAGAGATGTTTATTTTCTACCATGACAGAAATTTTATGTATGGCCAAAAAATTTGAAGTCCCCCTTTTGCAGTCCCTAAATTTTCAGATCACTTCCCCCCATAGTATACATAATGAATACAGCCTAAAACGTAAATGTTGTAAAAAAGCACTTGACACAGACCAACCAATAAAGTGTGAAGAAACTTTGACTTGACTCTCTTGATGCAAAACTTTAAAAAATTTCCTTTTTGTCCAGGTATGTTTAATAAAGCTAAGTATAGAGATAAGAAAGATAATACTTCTCAAAGTTAAGGTTCCAGGCAAAAGAATCAGGTCAAAGAAACCTTGAAATATCTTCATGATATTCTCTTTGCATGAAAAGATTTCTTTCCTCTCAAAGCTGGTAGCCCATAACCTGCCATAAAAGAGACACAAACAATATAAAGAGCCTATATGGCAAAACAAGGTCAGAGAACTGCTCTGTAATCAAAGGGTTTGGCGAAGTCACAGGCCTGAGCAAACATGTAAAAAATGTACAAGGAACAAAACTGTGTATTGTAAGATATTGTTGTAGAAAGACAACAATTTATAAGATCGTGTTTTGAATGCCATTTAATCATAAGATCTGATAAGATCTTGATGTTTTAGATAAATGACTAGCTGACAAAATGGTATAAAATTTGCAAAATGATATAGTCACCAGGAAAAATCTATACCAGGATGAAGAAATTAACAAGTCAATTAAAAATGTCATACTGAGCATCGTAAAATATTGACAATGTCTTAGAAATATAAAAATAGTAGTGTTCATTAATTGTTGAAAAACAAATCTTCGAACAAAATAATTGAAAAAAAATTATCAAAAAGGGCGTGATTTTTAAAGCCTTTCACATAAGTACCTGATTTTTACACTTGTTTGACATGCAACAATTAATAACTCACACAATTAACTTTTTTAACAATAATATAACAAGAATAGAGACATACAATTATATATTCTATTCGATATATTCGTAGAATACTGAACAAGTAAAATGAGAATTAGCTGAAGGATGACTTTGAGGAGAAAGATATGATGTTCGGGACTACGTGTTCATATAAAACCCAGATCATTTCCAAAAGTAATTACATGTCTATAAAACGTCCTATTTTGGTGGTTGAAAAATTCTTAGTTCACGAGAAAAACATCATTTTTGTAAAGAGATTATTCTCTCGAGTTGAGGAAAAGTGAGCTAGGAGATCACTCGACTGAAGCATAAGAAATAAAATTCACATTTCAAAAATAACAAAAAAGCAGTTTAGAAAAAAAATGACAAGGAACGCATTTTAGAAAGTAAAAGAATGCACTCACTAATAAAAATTAGTTGTTAATGAAAATTTGGCATCTTTTTTCTGCGATTTTCTCCGCCCAAACGAATCTCCAAAAGTCATTGTTTTTCTTCGTTGTCTGAGTGTTCGCTCGCGGTTGCTAAGGAACACGCGTGACGTCATATTAGGACATCACCCTGCACATGCGCGCTCCGAAGGAAAACTACGGAGTTTTCCCCTCCCTCCTGGTCCAAGTCCTTCATCCTCGAGTGTATAGTTAGACTTATAGATAGTTTATTAAACAAAGATAAATCACAGCCAAAGAGCTGAATTGGGTTAGTTTACTTCTGGGTGATTGATATCAGGGAGGGGAGTCTCGTGGTATTAAAGAAAAAGTTATTTGTTTTTTCATTTTTAAGATAAAATTCTCTTTCTATAACGATGAATATTTGATTGACATTTAACAGCTATTTTATAAAGATTTTCAATTTCTCTTTGCGTTTTAGCTTCGATTTTTCGGATAGAATAAAATGACAGGTAGCCTACTCCACTGGGTCGACTTTTGCTGTGCAAATTCCTCCCGTCGGAGGGTTATGTTTACAACATAAGCTTGTCAGCTTTGCGCTGATTGGCTAGTCGCATTTTCTCAAATCACCCAGTAACGCGAGCAACCAAGTCAACTCGCTTTCCTGGCACTTTTTGGCCTCGACATCTCAACTACCGTTTTAATTGCTTGACAGTATAGTTGTCTGGATTATTTTGGAGCTTTGAACCAGGAAAATCGTCATTTTCTGTCAAAACTTCTGTATTTTGGAGCGAATTTAATGAGGCGCTTTCTCTTGTATTGACCACAGGGGGCCCAGGCTCAACAGTTGTGTGGCTTTCACGCGGTGTCAAAGTATAAATTGCGTAGTTCGCGGCTCGAGCCCTCATGAAGCCGTAAATTTTTTCTACTTCATTTCTTGAGACTTTTCAAGACTTTCTTTTTCTTTTCTTTTTTCTTTAATTAGTATAAACAGTTTTATGAATAAAGATTGATTTTTAAAGCCATTTTTATATTTTTCCCCCTCGTAAATAAAACTTTGACACCGCCGTGAAAGCAACACAACTGTTGCCTGAGCCTGGGCCCCCTGTGTATTGACCTCAACGTTTGTCCGAATGCAAGCGGGGGGTCGAAATGTGTGACGTAATATCCGCGCTGCGCTATTTCACTTCCGGCAGTGTCACAGTGTCACAGCGATCTTTATAACAGACCCGAACGTAAGCTTATTCCTAATTTGACTTGGATAGAATACGTGGGATCGCGATTATACAATAATTCCTAATGTTCGAGCTGCCACCGATGAATGCACGAATATGACGTGGGTTGGTTAACCCGTACACGACGATAGTACCGTTATGCACTAGTCAATGTCATTAGAATAACCACGAAATGATGATTTCACTGTTTTTCAGACAAACTTTGTCGTGTTTAAGTCATCGGGATAATCACGAACCATTTTACTGGAAAACAACAGACGTATTTGGTCGAAATTTTGAACTGCTATATTGGGAACGATCCTTGTCGTGTTTAACTCGTTGGGATAATCACGATAAGTACTTTCTGAAAAATAAGTAATTAAGAAAATTTTTTTTTCAAAATTTTCTGACAATGATAACGACATTAAAAAACGACCCTATATTTAGACAAAGATGATCACGAATTTCGTTATCATAACTAGATCCAGCTCGTTTTGAAAAAGTACTGAATAAGACATCACTTTTCAACACCTTTAGGGCACGAGTTCACCCTGCTGTCAGGGTCTAGTTATTCCTTCTGAGAATATTAAAACCCTTTTAAATGACTTTGTTGTTGTCTGTATGTCAAAACAAGTGAGGATTGAATGTTTTTCAGTTAAATTGTACTGAATAGTGAACATCTAGCTCACAGTAAATTAAGATTATTGTTATTGTTTGTTTGTTGTTTATTTATTATGGAGTGTACCAGCAGTTCAAGTCCGCTGCTCCGATATGTGTCAGCTCGTTTCAACATGAGTATCCTTATCACAATAATTAAGCATTGTACACTTTTAGCCAATCATATTGCAGCAATGAACAGTAGCAGTACAAGTGACCGCGATAACCTAAGCACTCACTCGCATCGAGCCTGGTGACCGACAACCAGTCTTTACAAAAAACACGTGGAGTGAATAGACACTCAGCTGAAGAATACACAGAGAAAACATGGTTTCTGATGAAAAGGAAAATGCTGGCCTTAATTGCAACATTCATAAAGGTTGTTTAGTAGACCCAAAAGGGATTTCAGAATATGATTCCGAAAGTGATGACAGCAGAGAGAGTTGGAGCAGTAAAGCTGATTTTTTCTTGGCTACCGTTGGCTATGTCGTGGGTTTTGGCAACCTATGGCGTTTCCCGTACCTTTGTTACCGAAATGGCGGTGGTAAGAGTAACAGAAGCTATTTTTTTGTTCCTTATAGATATCTGCTATACGAGTTAAAACGGATCGGAAAATATGCTAATTTTTTACACGTGTTTTTAACCAAAGTCATGCGATTACTTCCTTAATGAATATTTATATCATAGCAGACCCATACAATCATGATATTTATAAAAACTTTATTCAAAGAGCAGACAGTGAGCGTGAACAACATCGTAATAACATCGCCATAACAAGGACAATGTTGAACTGGCTTTTCACGAATGTCAAAATACAACATACCTATCATCTCGCATCCCACTTTCGATTTCGTGTTAAACTTTGCCATGGAAGTATGCAGAACTCAAAAATAAAGATGCTGGTCTTAGTATCCCATTAAACTTGAGCTGCCATTTTTTCGAGAAAAATTACAAAGGACAAAACCAGAAAGGAATGAAATCTAGCGTGTGACATAAGGCATCGACATATGAGATGGCTCTCATGGTAACACGGCATTTATGAATATCATAGTGACTTAGAAATCAAAATGACTCTGGATGAGCTTCTTTCTGTGAAGTCAGACTAGAGAGAGCATCCAATTAAGTGATAAGCAAGTTTGAATTAGTAGATAAGTGCCTTATTGCAGAGTTGATGAAAGGGGATGGATATTTATATTCAAAATCTGAAGTATTATGTATTCGACCTTTTTTGTCATGTGACGGACAATTTCTTCATGATGAGAAAAGAATGGCAGGTTAACAACACAGTTATTGAGAACTAGATTTTTGTTAAAATAAGTTGAATCGACGCGAGACTTACTAAAATGTGTTCAATAACTGCAATAAGAATCGATCGATTAAATAATTTTCCTTTTTCTAATCTATACTTATTTCACTTATATGGTTATTTTTTTACTCTAAACATGTGACTCCCGACCAAGAACTCTCGACCCTGATCTTAGAACTCACTAGTTCTCTGATCTTAGGACTATACTCTCGACAAGAACCAAAACTGAATGATCATCAGTTGCCGATCATTCGTACCCCTAGTGAGCAGATTTTATCATAAAAGGAATTTTTTGATGAGTCTTTGCTGCCCTGGTCAAGTACTGTGTTCTAATGGTTTTTTTAACTTGATTTTGGCATAACAACTAAAAATAATTATAAAAATCAGGCATCCCGTTTATTGGTACTCCAAATGACTTATTGAAGTTATAGAGTTAGTCTACTATTGCTGTGAGTGAGGTTTATCCCCGGGGGGGGGGGGGGGGGTACTCCCATTTATTTGCTTTACGGTGACGTGCCGCTGGCCAGGGTATGGTTTTTGGCCTTGCTGTCTTAAACAGGGTATACATTTCACCCGAAATTGTCTTAAACAGGCTCTACAATTTAGATAAAAGACCGATATAATTTTGTTTGTGTGTCTTGGACAGGGTAATATTTTCATAAGAAAATGGTGGGAACTAGCCGTGAACTAGTGTGAGCTGCGTCGGTGTTTCTAAAGAAACAGTCATGTACAAAGATAAATTTTTAAATTTAAAACACCGTAAAAAAAGTGAAATGTGAAATAACTTACTGACGTTTCGGACGTTAATCCTTCGTCGGACGAAATACTGAGGTTTACTGACGTTTCGGACGTTAATCCTTCGGACGAAGGATTAACGTCCAAAACGTCAGTAAGTTATTTCACATGCGTACTTCGCTACAAAAACTTCTTCAACAACCGCTCAGATATCAAAATTTAAAGTACTGGTAACCTTCTAACCTAACTACTCACTTTTTGATAAAATTGAGCTCGTGGAGAAACTTTAAATAACTCAGAAGGATTTTACCGCAAAATACGACTTCCAGATGACCTTCGAATGCCCCAAAAGATTTTTAATTTTGCGAAAAAAACCGTCGATGTCGCTCGATTTGGGCATTTGCTACGTTTTTAGTTTTCAAAGCACAAAAAGTCAACAAATTAAAAATTTAAACTTGTTAATTTCGCTGAAAATGCGTGATTTAATTGAGGATTGATCGTCTGATAAGCGTTAATTATTCAAAAGAAGAGTTTTATTATTCGAAAAATTCGATAGCGAGAACACGTAGAAAATACTCATTTTCTTGGACAACGTTTGTGTAATTARGTATATATAAAGTCGCTGCATTTTATAACCGGGACGGACCATTAGATTTTTGTGGAAGGGCTGTGCAGTCTTTTCACGTCTAGGATATTTTTTCGACCTGGCTTTGTGGCGATGCTAGGATTGTATTTTTTGATCTGTTTGATTTGCAGGATATTTTTGAAAACTGATGCTTTTGTTGCTATGGACGAATCCTGGAAAGATGCAATTAGTTTAATTGATGGTTCATTTTCGAAGACATACAATAGGCGAATAATTTGTTTACATTTCGGTTCATTAACATATCAATAACGTTAACCTAACTATCAATAAATCAGCACTGAGTATTGAAACAACATAGCACAATAAGCTTTCCACTCAATTTTGAGCTTCTCATATGAAATACTTTTTGCGTAAAACGGTTTTAAAAACTCCAATTTTTAGAGAGATTATATGAGCTAATTAGCGCTTTTGCCACTCAGCATCTTTGAACGCTAATGACCTGAAAGTTTATAGTTCTTAATAAGCCCTTTTACATTATAAACTTAGTTATTTTACAGTTTTCTTTAATTTAAACTTTATGCTAATTAGAAAAATTTTATAAACAAAGATCCGCCTATAGTACTGCGTTTGAATGTATATATATATAGCTATTTCAAAAAAGGTTGTCGGATAAAATAGCGAATGTAAAAGGTCGAACGTCGATTGCACGACCGAAAGTAGCCATGGGTTTTGCTTGGTGAAATAAAATAACAACTGATTTATACTGTAAGATGGTCTGTGGTAAATATTGGCTCCATTTTAATTTAAGGTGAATCCAATAAGTGAAATTTTATCAAAACAGTGTAAACATAATCCCTTTCGGTCGTGCAATCTCCTTTAGACAATTGCCGTTCGCCGTTCTCCCCCACAACGTTTTTTGAAATAGCTGTATATAATAGGTATGGACAGCTGACAGTGCTGACCTTCTAGATTGAAATTTTTTTTTTTATATAAAATAATTTTCAAACTTTTATGCCAAAGCATTAAGTATGAAATTTGCAATCTCAGTCTTGCACGATTTTTCTAGAACTTTTTCTGATACTAATGGCTTATCCCTAATTAGAGATGTGTGAATTAGCCCCTGAATTGCCGTAAAATTATGACAAAATTTGAATAGAAAACGCCGGTACTTTACAATGCAAAAATTACTAAATGAATGTTGTGATTGTTGTTCAAGGATGTCATGAAAAAGCATTAAATTTTCAAACATTCCTGGACGGACACATTTCTGTGTGTTTTGGTCAGTTAGACAAATTAACAACTTGGAAAGCTGTGTTTTGCAGTGATTTGAGAGTTGTCAATATTGCTTGCAAATCCCTTTTTTAGTATTATTATGCAAATAAACATGTAATAAAATGACACACAATATTGGGCATAAAACGTTAGTGATTTATACGCAACATTTCTCACACTGTGACATAATATGCTGTACAAAATATACAGCTGTTTGCAATAATTCTGACCTCCTCTGCCATATTTCATATATATCAAACTGAGCTTTAATATTATGGGATATCATGACTGATATATTTTTTGAGTTGTCCAGAATGAGTACTTTCTAAAAAAAATATCAGCAATGGTATCCCATAATTTCTAAGGCTATTTTGATATATATGAATATTAGTGTAGGGGGGTCAGAATTATTGCAAACAGCTGTATACAATAAAAATAAGGCTATGAATTATTTACAATATGTACAAAACGAAATTGAAAGTTTTCGACTATACGAAGTCATCATCAGAATAAAACTATTAATAAAATTTATTCGTAGTCGAAAACGTTTAATTTTTCTTTTTGTACATATTGTAAATAGTTTATAGCCTTAATTTTATTATATACTATTCGCAAATAAAACCTTCCTCGTGTCGCCATCCCCCTCCCCTCCCAATACAGCATTGTGTAGCTTTCTTATCCTTTCCTGATAATTCATTAGGCCGTTGATGTAGAGTTGAGGAATCAACCTTGTCTAACCTAAGTATATTTTCATTTTTTTTAGCCTCTTTCATTCTTCCGTATTTTTTAATGCTTGCTTTTGTTGGTGTACCTATGTTTTTCATGGAAATATCTCTTGGTCAATGGTACAACTGTGGACTAATTGGTGTGTGGAAAGGCGTCTGCCCTTTAGCAAGCGGTAAGGAATATAAATGCTGATAATATATTAACCAGCTGATGATCGGACCTTTTTACTAATTCCTAGTCGGTCCTAGTTCGCTTTAAATCGGTTTTAAGTGTTTTTGAGGACAAACCGAAGAAAACGGAGGAGCAAAAACTTGCGACTTATGGAATCAGTCTAATTGCGCGGGTAATGGAATATATGAATATATTACCGAAAAATAGCCGAGTTTAGATATTTTGGTTCAGTGACCATGCACAAAAGAATTGCAGACGAGGCTCCGGGGAAATAAAGAATAAAACGATATTATACGCTCTTTGATTGGTCATTTTGAAGCGTGCACTTCAAAATAACTCTTTGCAATATTAAAAAAAATAAAATTATCAATGGATAATCTTGATTTATTCTTTATTTCCCCGGAGCCTCGTCTGCAATTCTTTTGTGCATGRTCACTGAACCAAAATATCTAAACTCGGCTATTGTACTCATAGTCTAAAGAATAGGCCTTTTGCATGAAACGTACACATGGTACAAAATCCGCCATACTGGATGGCAAAAGAATGTAAACAACGCAGCCTGTCAAGCTTGACTTTTCTTTGTTTTGAAAATCCCAGTTGTTATTTTGCCATCCAGTATGGTGGATATTGTACCATGTGACCGTTTCATGCAAAAGGCATATTGTATTGTCTGAATGAAGAATCATTTGCAATACTCCAATTTCGAGTTCTGATTTGCCCTGTGTTAGCCTTACTGCGGTTTTCCGTTTTCTGCGAACTCTAGCACTGCGAACGTTAACGGTCATTTGCTGTTTTTGCTCCCGTCAATCAAAAAGTAAACGAACTGCTTTCGTGACTCCTCCCACAAAACCGAACCAAGTCCGAAAGTCCGCCATGTTGTTTTTTTCTTGCCTCGTGAGTTTAGCTCTGATCTTCGATGGAGAATTGTTTTCATGCATGTCGGCCACATTCCCCAAAAAACCTCTTCCAAGTACTGCCTGTTGGACAGACATTTGTGCACAAAATCTTGAAGATATACAGGGAAATTGGAGATGTTCGAGATGGCGGACTTTAGGGCTTGGTTCGGTTTTGTGGGAGGAGTCACGAAAGCAGTTCGTTTACTTCGGAATTTTGATTGACGGGAGCAAAAACAGCAAATGATCGTTAAAGTTCCCAGAGTAAAAGTTCGCAGAAAACGGAAAACCGCAGTAAAAGGAACATATTCTTTTGTTTTATTTATAGCCTGTGAAAACGCATGGAATTTGAAAAGAATTAGGAATATTTTGCGCACAAATGAGGCTAACACGGAGCATCGGAGAATTCGAAACTGGATTATTGTGTGGGATCCTTGTGCATTTTAGTTTTGGGCTACCTTTAGGGAATATATGTCATATATGGAAACAAACCAAATGGCCGATAAGAAGTATCTTTGCTATAATTTCTGCAAGTTTCAGACAATTTAAAGCTTTACAAATTCAGAAAATCTTAGCATTTCTTCATGCTCAGGTATGTCTTATAAAACGTTTTATTAGGTATTGGTTACGGTACTCTTGTGATGCAAATTTGGACGAACATCTACTACACTGTAATCATGGCCTGGGTGCTGTTCTTTTTATTTGATACTATGCGTTCTGATGTGCCTTGGAGTTCTTGTGACAATGACTGGAATACGCCCTTCTGCAGGTATTGCAATCGATCGTTTTCAAGTATTCTCATGAGATTCAAAAGACCGGCGGCCATGTTGGAGGAATGAACAATGGATACTAATTAATGAGAAATCCTTTGTTGAAGTTCCTCCAAGATGGCCGCTGTGACGTACCTTGAAAACGAAGAATTTAACCCTCTTATATCGAAATGATCTCAGAAGTGATTCAAAAGTGACGACTGGTGTTTTCTTCTTTTGAATATTTAATATAGTCAGGCCAATGAAGGCTTGTTGGTATCTGCTTTGTTTTTGTTTGTTACAGATATTCTCGTAGGATTTATTTCTTTTAATTAATCGGTTGTATCGCGCAGTAGGAAGAAGATGGAAACTGTCTTCCGAGTCTACTTCTTCCGATTCCGTTTCTCTTCCGATTTCGATTCTGGCTTTCAGTTGATCCGTAGAATGTAGAATAAACTAATTTGTGACAAATAAGATCGTGTCCAGGGCCGCGCTGTCGTCAATTATTCTTAGCCAGGGTAGTGTGAGCAAAGATCCGAGAAGAATAATTAATTCTGAGGGGCAAATTCAAGTCCAAACTGTACTTTACATACAGCTTCAAAATCTCATACATAATTAATGAGTTATTAGGCCAATAGAATGAGCATATTTGGTCACATGCATGGACCTTTATATCTGATAAAACACTCCTTTCACTCTGCGAAAACATAACATATTGCTCTTGAACTTCCTTCGCTACATTGCTCATATAGTAAAGTATGTTTTCTATCGAATCCAAAAATGATTGTTCAGCAAAAGGTGTAAAATTCTCGTAAATGCAAACTTCACTTCGTTCGCCTCCATCGACTACCTAATTTTCCTTTCTTGTCCGCTCTTGAGGTAGATCAACAAGGACCAATCAGGTGCCGTGTAATATGTGCGCGCGTTGTGATTGGTTGTCTAAAAATAGATTGTCAGGACATCTGATGGTGTGGATATTATTGGGGAGATGGACACTTCTGGTTATGTACTTCTGGTATTTTACAAAGTGGTGGGACGTAAAAGTAGTCAGCGAATGAGTCCTGTTTCGGTTTGAGACAACCAACTCGCAATTTATCGAGGAAGTACTCTATCCGTATATGTCATTATTTCAGGCATTGTTGGGATGGATTTCATTTCTACGACCAATTGCACGATTTTGTAAATCAATGTTATAGTTTAGTACAGTAGGATTACAGATCAGACTCCGAAACATACCGGTCATTTCCATCCTAAAATTACGCATCCGAAATGAATAAACTGCAAAGTTTACAAAGGAGTTACCATAGTGAAGCAGCTTGAACATGTGGACTATGTTCACAGACCAACTGTAACTACTTGTCTCACACCTTTGTATATAGCAAAACGTCAAATACACCGAATACGCCATAAAAGGAACCCAAGTAATCAAGCTGACCGTGGTAACAATTGCTAGCGTCACGGATAATTTTCTATCTCTCTGGGAAATTGTGTGACCCAAGATACTTCTCATACAGCTTAGTTTTATCCATATAAGGAAATATGCACAAATAATGATGACTAGTGGGACTGAAATACTCGTCAATAYCATGAYTCCMCTCTCAACGAACCCTGTTGTCAAGATGGACACGGTAAAAAGCAAAGCTGTCAACCACACCACAGCTATCCCAATGATGTATGGAGTCTTGCTTATCGCGCGGTATTTGAATGGATAGTACGTAGCGTATGTACGTTCAATGGCTATGGCAGCTAAACCCAATAAAGACGCAATTCCTAAAAACGGGTCAAATATCCTGAATGCCAAAAATGTTTTCCCATTTAAAGCGACAAAGTATAAAGGCACCGCTACCAGTCCCACCAAGAGATCAACCACTGCCAGATTGATAATCAAATAGTATTTGCGCATGCGCAGACGAGGAGTTCTTGTGAATGTCACTATGGTGATGGTGTTCGTTATTACTATAGCAACGGCTTCCACCAAAAAGAGCCATTTTTTCCACATTTAAACTTATCACGTGATTTTACCACTGAAAAAATAAAGTTCGAAAGTTAATTAGACGATCATAGATCGCTTACGTGGGCTTCCTGTAGCTGCGACAATGGTCAGATGCTGCCATTAAGCTATGCGTATTTCATTTTCACGATAGAGCCTTTGTTTGAAATAGTTCAAGGGTCTTCAAGACAGAATTAAAGTCCACTTTCGGGATTTTTTATTTATCTTTATAACTAAAATTGAGGCTAATGGAAGTATATCTGTGAGAGAATTTTATAGAAAAGCGAATTTTTAGTAAGCTAGCGAACATAGGAAAATCTCCGCATTGAGGTCTTTATCTGGGGACAATACTGAGAAAGACTGGGACTGGCTTCTGACGTCATCCCCGTCCAAGGCAATTGTTGTTATCGAAACATCAAAGTGGATTTTATTACATCGATTTTTATTCTTTTTCGCTAATAAAATGCCCAACAAGTGTGTTGTTGGTGGCTGCAGTAACACGCCAGATATTTTGAAGGAAATCTGCTTCAATATAAGTATTTTACATCTTTATTACAACTTAATTTTTTGATTTTGTCATAGGATTCATAGGGTTTATGTCATCATGATTCATGGCTTATACAAACCAGCTGGTCACAGTGAAGCCGTAGATACTGCGATCAGGCCACGAGGCAAATTGACGTACAAAATAATACATCGTCAAAAATGAAACAAAGCGCGGATTGATTTAGTTTGATAACCCCATGGAAACTGAGACTGCAGTCGACCATCTGCAACGCAGGCGCTTCCAATTTGAAGCGTAATATTCACGACAACGACGACGAAGGAGAAAAGTCCACTGACATTTTTAGACAGGAAGCCCACGTAAAAAAAAAATAGTGTAAATGATAAATTAATATTCAACATAAGGGGATCTGGAACCAACTTTTTTTTGACAATTTTCTTTTTAATTTGTTGACATACATATTCTTTATATTTTCTACATAATAAATGATTGATAACTGAGGGAGTTTTATCTTATCTTATATCTGGAACATTTCATTGTGAGCATAGTTCGTTTGAATTTGAATCATACGTCCAAATGTGCGATCCTTTATCTGACTTTTTCTATAATTTTATAAAATTTGTGAGACACGCCAGTGTTTGGTAAAGAATCTTCAAAGGAAAACAAGCTTAAATTCAGAATATAGAAGTGAAGGAACTTGTTGAAAAYSACGAGACGTGTTGAGTTAACCACGAGACGTGTTGAGTTAAGTCCCACTTGCAAAACTGAATGTCGAAGACATGCATGACTGTTGTAGCTAGGTGCACTTTGGCTCAAAGATCTTCAATAAGAAAGTAAAAGAGATCGCAGTTGACGTCGACTGCATTAGCGATGAGATACGCCCTAGTAACTGGTTTGGGCACATTCATAGATTAAAAAAAACAGCGATGGAATGGATTCCTGAGGGACGAAGAGGAGCGATGGGCAAAATGAATACCGAAATTCACTGGGAGAGCTAGGAGAGAAACGATGACAAGAGAACAAGGCAAGGAGGACTGGAAAAGCATGTGGCATTAGTGAGGGAAGCAGCTATGCATAGGAGGATAAGGAAGCATTTTGTGGAAGCGGCTTATGCACCTCATGATGTCAATTATGGCGTAAGGAAGACTAGTACTTAAAGTTAGAATTTTGAGTTTGTGCCTTCTAAACGCCCTTTGGTACCCTTTAAGACCGATAGGAAGGCTAAAATAATGATCTTTTATAAATAAACATATGTTACTCAGGAATCTAAGATAATTGAATCAGTTATCAAAAAAGCTTTATAGATATTCTCGTTAAGGGATTAATACGATGATTTTTGTAGATTTTTTTCTATGCAGTTTAAGAATTGTCCAGCTTGACGTTTGATACAAGTGTTCTTATGCATATGGAATTAAATACTTATCTAGAATCTATTATTATCCGAAAAAACACTTCCTTGGACAGCATTTAGTTTACACATCCCAGAGAGGCTATTATGATCTGACATCGAAGATTTTCCTCTTTCACTTGGAAGTAACTGTCCAAAGTTGCACCTGTGTCCACAATGACACTTTATCGTTGTTTGCATTTGCTAAGTTTTAAATTATGGTGAAATAGTTCTGTCAAGCCTTTTTATATGAGAATAAAATCATATAAAATCGAATAGTGATAGTAGAAAAATCCTTTACAGCCATGTTAAACCTAATTTAACTCTTCGTGTCTAAGAAAAATACGTAAAGAAATGTTAAAAGGCTTTTTTAGCGATTGTTTTTCATGTTTTCTCGGACATATCGTACTTTGCTTTTATTATTCAATGCTTCAATTAAAGGTCTTGCTTCACAAAAGCCTTTTTCGGATCGTTTAAATGAAAAATGTAACAACACACGAATGGTATCATAGAAAAAAGAGCATTTTTACTTTAGTCAGTAAAGATGAATAAATGAAAAAAGACAAAGGAAGATCGCTTAAGCTGAACGCTTTCTTTCTCTCTTTTGATAGATTCCATTTTATATTCTAAATACAAATGTTCTGTTTCTCTTTAACAACCTTTTTGCAATTAGGTGTAAGTTATATTAAAGACAAACCTTTTGACTGTAGGCTTGAGCGATATGTAGCGCGCCTTCCAGGACCAGTCTTCAGTTAAAGCAGTCTATCATTTATTTAGGTTTTTAAACAGGTTCTTATATAAATGGTAGTGACCACAATTCTAGGCTACTTAGGTTATTAAATTAGGTTGTCAATTCTAGGGTAAAACAAATAAACCTACCTTCAAAACAAGATGATTATTTGCCTATTTCTTGATCCCGCCCCCACTCCCAACATACATTATACCTGTTCAATTTTAGGCTAAATAGTTTCTTGTTTATTGGGTGTATAAAGTCCATAATTTAGCTAACAGGTTCTTAATTTTCAGGTTCTTATATACGGGTTTCTAATGTAGTTCGGTATTTTCAAACAAAAATGTCTCTACATTGTATAAGAATTTAAAAATTATAAATGAAAACCCTAAAGAAATGTCGCCGGGTCCAAAGAATTTTCTCAAAGGTTTGCTTTGCCTAGCTTGGAGTACAAGAAGCTACAATTTCCTGTTCTTCTATTTAAGAGGCCGGCACGTCTATAAAATGCAAGCGCAATTTTTTCCACGGTTTTTAAGGAGCGCTCGGCGATGTTCTCACGACTTTACAACGACTGGGACAACTTTGCTCCCACTGAAAACACTGTACGGTATGATGGCGGTCGCTCAAGAAAGACTACGAGACTACTGAACATTTTTGCTATTTGACGCACGGTTATAGAATGCAAAGACAATATTTTTTCCACGTTTGGTTTTTCCCGAGCGGTCGGCTATTTCCACACGACCACGAGTTTACATCGACTGGGACAACTTTCCACAGATAAAACTACAAGTGCCATGATGACGGTCGTTCGAGGAGATGAGAATACTGAGAACATTTTGGCTTTTTAGATCATGAAAAAGAAACCCAAACGTTACGAGAGGTTGGATGCTGAGCGACAACTTTATAACGAGTTGATATTTTGAGATACTTTATAGTTTTTAGTTTTCTCGAACCTCCTGTCGAGAATCAAGAGTTATTACTTTTAAGTGAATCTTCTATCGACAATCAAGAGCGAAAACTTTTCGAATATTTTTCACGCAAGTCGCACCGATGACCCCGAAAATTACAAGAAATGTATGGATAACTAAAAATTAATTTAATCGCTCTCTAGATCAGCAAAGTTCTTCAAAACTCGTATCTAACGTTTGAAATTAATAATTCTTTCAGAAAAGGAATTTAACTGGAATTATTTGACAACGGTCACATTGTATCCTTTTTATTTTGCGGGACTTTCCCTACCCAAACAAAATGGTGTCAAAAACGTCACCTCAACTATTCTCAAATGTCTCAGGACCAAGAATAGGACGTTAAAGAACTTTAATCTTAGCAGAATGACAAGCATTATAGGTATCAGAATTGAGTGAAATTAAACATTACAATCGTATCAACGACCGAAGAGAATTTAAGGAACTTTTCACTTACTTGTAAACTAAGACAAAAAAAAAAAATCGAAAAATCTAAAGTCAAAAATCTTATAATATAGCGCATATTATTGCGATAACGGTGCTGACTGTATTACGCCATGTCCTCTTAATAGCGCTGCGCGGATATACTAAAAATAGATTTGAGAGATTAGACTCCCCACGGAGATTCGGACAAACAAGAGGTCAAGTTTGTAGTGAATGTATGTAGCGCGACCATGTAACTTTCAATTTTATTTAGATTTCTCTGGATTTTTTATCAATATGACCGGAACAAAGCACTGGCGTTCGGGCAGATGCAATACAGATTCACGATATACAAATAGAATGCCTCAGTCTCTCAAAGAATTTAAGAAAATTGAGTAAGAAAGTATTTATACCGTTCTTCAAGCCTTCTCATGACCTCGAACCATGCCTACAATGGATCAATTCTTGTTCTTGTAGTCCAACAACATCAATAAAACGGTAACAACGTGGCTGCATCAGCCAAGCACAGATACTTAAGTCACTTAACACGGTTCGCATGAAGCGTGTATTACCGCTCCACTATGTATGGATAAAGACTAATACATTATGAGGCAAGTTAGTTTCATAATAATGGTCGCTCTTGTCTGTTGCCCTTGTTACATAGCACAAAACGGGAATCGACATGTTTTCGTCCGTTTTTAAAGGTTTGTCCGTCATAAGTCCTTCATCCTCGAGCGTATAGTTAGACTTATAGATAGTTTATTAAACAAAGATAAATCGCAGCCAAAGAGCTGGATTGGGTTATTTACTAAGTCATGTAAACAAAAACTATTTAAAAAACTGAGTCCAACATACAGTTCATATATTGATATGGAAGCAATTAGATCGTCAGAGACGGCACATGGCCAGGATGAACGAGTTCCTATACAGTCTCTTAACGCGAGCAACCAAGTCAACTCGCTTTCCTGGCACTTTTTGACCTCGACATCTCAACTAGCGTTTTAATTGCTTGACAGCATAGTTGTCTGGATTATTTTGGAGCTTTGAACCAGGAAAATCGTCATTTTCTGTCAAAAATTCTTCATTTTGGAGCGAATTTAATGAGGCGCCAGTAAATTCCACATACATTTCTCTTGTATTGACCTCAACGTTTGTCCGAATGCAAGCGGGGGGTCGAAATCTGTGACGTAATATCCGCGCAGCGCTATTTAACTGGGCACAGTAAGTTCCACGTAGTGGTTTTCGTTTACTCATATAACATTGCCATCTTTGGTGGTTTGAACCAATCATAACGCAACTTTCAAGACCACACCTTTTTAAAATCAAAGCAAACGATCGTCAAAGTTCTCAGATACAAGAGGGAGTATTATGAGCATCTTCCATGGAGTTATGGTTTCTTGTTAGAAAAATAATTATAGAAGCATCTACGAGTGATCCCGGGGGACCTCCCCTAGAAAACGACAGGGTCCTAAAAAAGCTCAAATCTGAAGTGGAACATGCATCCTTTGGGTCACCATTTAGTAATTTGTACAATCACTCTATTATTTGTTTATTGAACAAAAACTTAAAGTGCCTATAACCCCTGTCACAATAATTGCTGATTTTCTGTTAAGAGATTCTATATAAAGTAAATAATTGAATAAAAAAATATTCCTGCATTTCAGAATTTAGTGTTGCGTCTTTGAGTTTTGAAGTTTTAATCTTACAACAAGCTAATGATAATGATGTCACTCAAAAATGTTTTTTATGAACGCCATCTGGGAATATGGTTATTCCCTACCTTGCCTACGATAAATTTAATGTCCTGAAACCTTCAAAGTTCGAATATCTAATGAAGCCTTCTTTGACGTTATTTTCATTAACATATTGTGAGATTGAACGTTCATAACTCAAAGACGCAACACTGAAATGCAGGAATATTTCACCATTCAATTATTTACTCAATATAGAATCAGCTAACAGAGAATGAGAAATTATTGTGTCAGGCGTCATAAGGCAAGCAAGAACTTCATGGAAACAATTGGCACGATTAGTTACGATTCATATGATTATATGGCCTAATTAACATCGTGCTTGTGTCATTCTCTCTCCTGCTGGCTCATATTTCATTTCTATGCTGTGTTACTTAAGATTATAGTTTTGCACAGAGTTTTTACAGTTCAGAAACCCAAACATACGTGCCATTTCAGTCCTGAAATTACGCATGCGAAATGAATAGACTGCAAAGTCCACAAAGGAGTTACCATAGTGAAGTAGCTTGAACATGTGGACTATGTTCACAGACCAACTGTAACTACTTGTCTCACACCTTTGTATATAGCAAAACGTCAAATACACCGAATACGCCATAAAAGGAACCCAAGTAATCAAGCTGACCGTGGTAACAATTGCTAGCGTCACGGATAATTTTCTATCTCTCTGGGAAATTGTGTGACCCAAGATACTTCTCATACAGCTTAGTTTTATCCATATAAGGAAATATGCACAAATAATGATGACCAGTGGGACTGAAATACTCGTCAATATCATGATTCCACTCTCAACGAACCCTGTTGTCAAGATGGACACGGTAAAAAGCAAAGCTGTCAACCACACCACAGCTATCCCAATGATGTATGGAGTCTTGCTTATCGCGCGGTATTTGAATGGATAGTACGTGGCGTATGTACGTTCAATGGCTATGGCAGCTAAGCCCAATAAAGACGCAATTCCTAAAAACGGGTCAAATATCCAGAATGCCAAAAATGTTTTCTCATTCAAAGCGACAAAGTATAAAGGCACCGCTACCAGTCCCACCAAGAGATCAACCACTGCCAGATTGATAATCAAATAGTATTTGCGCATGCGCAGACGAGGAGTTCTTGTGAATGTCACTATGGTGATGGTGTTCGTTATTACTATAGCAACGGCTTCCACCAAAAAGAGCCATTTTTTCCACATCGAGGCTTATCATTTGGTTTGGTAACACTGAAAAAGTATATAGAATGCAACTTTAAAACCAACATGGTGGCCAAAACGTCGATATCTTGGAATCAATTTTGCTTAATAATTTTCTAAAAATCAATTCGAATATTAGAGTTTATGACTTTAAGACAAAATCAGCGGTATGATTATGCAGCAGTGTTTGATTTTCACCACCAAAGATCTGCACGTACAGAATACCGACCGTTAAACATCAACATCTAAACATTTTCATGAAACCAAATTGTTTGTTGTCTCTTTATTTATCAATTGTATAATGATATAGCTTTGTGTCTTTGTGTGTATCTTAGTTTTTGATTAGGTAACCTATAAGCCAAGAATAAACAAAAGTAGACCAAACTGAATAACTTGGAACCATATGTTTGCTGGGATTAACAGATGACGTCAAATACAATTGTCATGACACGGACAATTTTCGATATAATGTTTAGGAATAGTGCATAAGCAATCGATTCAAGCGAGCAATAATGCATGATTAGATGAGACAGGGCTAAAAAATGCATTGCGTTTATCTAAGACAAGATTGATTTCACTTTAACAGTTCCTCAGCAGAGCGGCTCAACGTTTAAATAATATCTTAGCACTCTACTATAGATGTGTGTTTGTGAATGTGCTCTACTATTCTGACTAGAAACACAGATTGAAACGTATTGAACTACCTTATTTGTTTTGTGCTCCGGAATGCCTCAGAAATTTTAAGTTGAATATTTCTCAAGTGGAAGATGTCTAGTTGGTCCCTCTCTCCTGAAAGTAAATAACATACACATTAACTAGGCTTATAATGAAAAATGGACTCTCTGATAAGACGCATCCCCAAGATATGAGAGTCGGCATCTTGTGAAATTCTTCCGCTGATACATGTCACTGATGAAGCCGTAAAATTAGGAACGACTGACAAATGATAATATCAAGAAACTGTTCCTTTAAAAAAATTAATTATTATTTCACATTTGCCCAAGGCATGTCAACAACTTTATTTTCAATGATATAAAGCTATAAATAGCACAAGTACATGCGCGAACTTTTAACAGCTAAAACATGCGCGAACTTTTAACGGCTAAAACGCGGCTTCTTTGGCGATATACAATATGTCATAGTAAGACAAAAGTTTCCGAAATCTATTTGTTTTATGCTTACTCCAAAATATAGGTCACCGCGATGTTTGCCTTTCTTTTTACTCGACCGATTCGCATTAAAAATATGTATTAATTAGCTATTAGTGGTACATTCTCTTGGTTTTATTTTGTTCTATAGTTAGTTTGATGAAGAATACGATACGAGAATGTTATTGTTATATGTTATTTATTATATATAGGATATTAAATGGGCTCGCAGAGATACGGATTTTATCTTCGAGTGCTGAAAAGATTTTCAACACGAGAAGATAAAATTCGTATCTCCAAGCGACCATGTAATATTCTGTTTATCGTATAATTACATATGAAAGCAAATTATGTCGTAAAATACCGTTTTTCTTACTTCCTCTGTATAGAGAATTTTCGAATGTGTTATTGTGTTATTTTCACTAGTGAAAATATCAATTTTACGAAATGGAGAAATATAGGTATTTCATAGATGATTATATGATAAATAGTAGTATTACAGCACGTCCGAAACATCAATAGGTCATTTGTTGATACGGAGGGGATGATATGACCAAATTGACGATTGCTCGATGAAAATCATCTGTAGATAGCTGTTTAATGAATTTTCTGTTTCCATTCTGATATGAGTGACTGAAGAAGACTTTTGGTGCCTTTCTCTTTTTCGAACTTTTCGGGTTTCCAATGGAACTTCCTACTCTGGAGATATATGTTCCGCTTTCCCACTTCTCTCGATTCTCATTTCCGACAGAAAGCGCTCAATTTTCATTATCGGTCAGGAAAAACTTAGTTTACATATGATGAAGACAAACTTACTGATTAGAACCTTTGCCAAAATGGACGACGCTCATCAGCATAATATCTTTTCCCACCAACGTCAAATTAATACGCCTGACTTAGGAGCTATGTTAAATCCTAGTTAAATCCAAACAAAACACGCAGTTCTTAACTGATTTTCAAAACAGAAAAATTTAAAGAGAAATTTATGCTGGAAATGTATGAACTTAGTAGATTTTCAATGGACCTACACAACTTTTGCAGAGCTTCTAAGTACGTTATACTCTTAGGTATTTCATGGCTCATTTCGTCTCGAGTTGTACAAATTATGCTTACGAGAGTCGATTTTATGTATTTCAAAACTAGGGGCTGGTTTAGATTTCTTTAGCAGTCGTCACGGAAGTATAAGGAGTAGTGTTGCGTGACGACATAGGGGCGGCAGGTAAAGGAGGCTAGGGCCGGTTGTACGAATGGTGAATAGCGCTATCTAGCGGATAAATCMTTACCCCATGTATAACCATACAAAATCTAAGGAATAGATAACTTTATCCATTCTGGAACAAGAATTGATCGGAAAACAATATTCACAGCTTGTCATTACAATTCGGGAAGAAAACTTTAAAAGCTTGAAAAGTAATCAGTTTTGACTACTCTTGACTGACTTTATTAGTTAAAAACACTTCATTATAAAGAGTACTTTTTATCCAATTGCGTTTGAGATTTTAGATCATTTCCTGCTGCAATAGAGTATTGTTAAGTGTTCGGCGAGTCATTTTGCGACAGTGGTCTCTAGGTCGGCATCATTAAGCTTTACTAAGCGTCTAGGAAGCTTTTTTGGAAGAAAACAGAAGTGCCAACTGATTTCCTTAGACAAAGTGTCGTCATTTTGAAGGTTGCTTTGAATTTTTCGACATTTGAGCAAGGTCGCTGTTCTTCTGAGGCAGATTTCAGAACCTAACAAGGTAATTTTGGCAAGTTTTGACTTCCAAAAAATAGAACCTATATAATATCCTGGCGAGTCTGAAAATACATTCCCATGGTGCTATTGGGGCGTACATCTGTTTCGTTTTGTTCTTTCAAACGAATAAACTTAGTCAAGCTAATAAAAAAATTTTCGCTTTAGTTTATATAGACATTGTTGACTGTTTCAGTTGTAAAATGCTGTATTGATGTTTTAATCATTTTGTTATGTCGTACCTCAAAATTTTTCCTATTTGACTTCTACTTTGAGGAAAATAAAAAGGAGAGGAAGAAAAAGGCTTTGATTTGTGTTGCACTGCATGTATCAATCTTTATACACCTAATTGAAGAAACGTTGTCGGGTCCAAAAAGGTCAAATCATAGAAGCTAAGACCGAAAGGGTACTTGGGAAGACAAACAATTTGGCTAATTTCAAATAAACACCTCTCCAACATAAAAGACTAGCATGCTGTTAATCTTACTAGGTCTACTTGGTTAGTGTACACCATGTATGCAAATGTAATTCCAATTTAGTGGTACTCAAAATACCTTTCGGTCTTAGCTTCTATGATGTGACCTTTTCGAACACGACTACGTTTTTTCAATTAGGTGTATATGATTTACAAATGTTTTCATGAAAACATCCGATCTGAAAATAAAAATAATAATTTGCAAATAGTACATGGCGAAGAAAAAGGAAATAATTGACTGCATGTGTTTATATTTCCAGTAAGAAAGAGAATGTTCAGGTACTTAAAAATAAATAACATCGAATCAAACTTCTGTAAACAAGGGGAAATAAGGAAATTGAAATCAAATCAGATTATCTCGAATCCTACTTTTTAGTGCAGACTTATTGATTAATTCATATTTCACTTATTTACTAATGTCTTCTTTTCCTAATCACTTTTTTCACGTTTTTGGAAGTCAGTTGAAACTGAAAATTGAAATTCAACACGACGCTCCGCTAAGATTTGCTGTGGCCAAAGTTACGTGTATTTCTACATTTGTTGATTTGTAGGGTTATACAGCAATATAGAGAAAATATGGTTTTTCCCCTCACATTTCAAGTATATATAAAATATATCAGATATTATATATCATTAAATACTGTCTGATGAGTGCGTAGCACGAAACTCGGAGTTACAGCAAAATCTTAAATACTGTCTGATGAGTGCGTAGCACGAAACTCGGAGTTACAGCAAAATCTTGCCTCTTTGATATCATTGTCAATATTTTTTTCCAGAAAGGACGAGTGCTAGGCAACCTAGACAACAAAAAATATCAGCGATAATATCGCATGATTTCTGATATACTATATTGCTGTATTTTCTATATAACAAGTTGAAGTTTTGTATACAAACCTGAAATGTTGGCCGTTACAAGTCAGGACTAGACAACATCTAGTGCGGCGTTTGACTTACTTTAACGAAATGCTCACGCACTTACACCCGTCTAGCAAAACAATAGACGCAGTTCCAGTGATTGGATATCGCTGCTGACCACATGACGTCAAAAATCTGAGATGACAGGAGGAGCAACGGGGTCTGTTCTTCTAAATAACTGTTCTTGTACGAATTTTTTCTTGGGAAAGGGATTTTGAGCTACATTGCTGACAATTTCACAAGAAAATGTGGCGCCCTTCCTTCTTAAAAAAAATTGTTCCTGGTAAACATTTTTAAGGTAAAAAAAGGCTTTTATAACGTTTTTATGGTTAAAAACGACTTATAATKTTTAGTTAGGAAATTTTTACTTTCCTGACAAAAATTCTTCGAGTGTATTCCTTGCCTGGAGAGKTCTGTGTTCCAGAATTTCTCGCCGTKGAAACCAGTTGTGACTTACAGCTGGCTGGGACAAAAGAACAGATATTTCTCCCAGGAACCCGCCGGCTCCTCTCGAGATGACACAATAGGCAAATACTGCACATGGCTCAATTACCCCCATAGTATTGTCAACAATTTGGAAAGCTTTTTGGCGAAGCCCATCAGTCGAGTTTTGGTCACGTTTTTTTCAGCAGTAAAGAAAATGTTTTCAAATGACAACGATTTTTTTTATGAGAAGTAAATCAATATCTCGTATTTCGTCGCAATAACAACCAGTACGCTTGTGTGTCAGGATCACGTCCAAGCATGATAAATCAATGTTTATGACGCAAATGGACATTCATGACATGAATGAATTATCATGAAGCTACACTCATGAGAATGTCAAAAACAATGAATATTTATCAGAACGTTCAGAATTATCAATATTTATGAGGTTTGGACCATAATAATTATTGAATATATCAAAAATAATCAATATTTCTAATATTCAACAACGATAAATTTTCTATAATGATAAATATTCATGATCTAGAGGAAAATGATGAATATGATACACGATGATGATCTCTCAGTAACGGCATTTTTTGTTTTTCTTAAGGATACAGAGAACGTCCCACAAAGTCAACTGTTCAGCGTTTGATTTACCTGTAAACTGTACCCAAAAGTTTGTTTCGCCAAGCTCTGAGTATTGGAGGTAACAAATATCCTAATTTTTGACGAACTTCTAAGGAGTGAAGTGCATTGCATACAAACAGTGATTTGTCAACAGGTTAAGATTCTCGATCCACATTTTTGATTTAGACCGTTTTCAATGGAAGAATTTAGTTGAAGAACATGTCCAGTATAAAAATGCTTAAAACGAATAGTCTTGGCTATTGCTTTTTCGGTATTCTGTAGGTTGTCTGATCGTGAAACTTATATGTAGCCAGTTGACACCAATCAGATTTTAGCGGAGCTCCCGCTCGATTCGAATATTCGCGAGAGCGGAACAACAAAGAATCAACGGGCATCGAGCCCATGACCTCTGAGATGCTGGTAATTAACTCTTACATCTTCTTGGGTGTTTTCAGCAATCGTGTGCTTCAGATAACAGGTTCTATTGAGGAGATGGGTTCGATGAGATGGGAATTAGTAGGAACTTTGATACTTGGTTGGATTATGGTATACCTGTGTATCTGTAAAAGCATCAAAGCTACGGGAAAGGTAATGTGATGGTTTCATTAGTTCCTTTTTTCATTCATCGAACATGAATAGAGAATATTGTCGGCGCGCGAAAATGCGAATTTTATCTTCGAGTGATCAATTGATATCTCACGAGTGCACGAGTGAGCTCAGCGGAGGAGTGACATATTTTAACTGAACACGAGAAGATAAAATTAGTATCTACAAGCGACCATACAATGTTGTATTTATTCCATAGATATCGATGAAACTAAAAAAGCAAACTTCAACAATTCTTTAAAAAAGCAAGCCGAGTTCTTGTTACTATGCAAACAGCGATATCTTGACATGAAAATATTGTTCTCGATATTTTATAACAACCAATAAACCAACTAGCCAAACAACCGACAACCAACAAAGTCTGCCAGTCAATCCGTATGCAAGTAACTCACACACATCCAACCAACTAATCTGGAACAATCCACCCACAAAACTTACGCGTGCCGAATCTACTTGCTTGCTTCTCAGCCTGCTAGCAAACTTTTAAAACATTGGACCAACCAAATAACTTCTCCAACTGTATAACTAACGAACCAATTAATTAATCAACAAAGCAATCAAGTAACCAACCTAACAATAAAACACTAACCATCCAACAATCAACCAACCTACTAAAAATGATAAAAACATTGCAATGTAAGCACGAATATGCCATAGATCATATGAAAAAGGGTGTGGCTATCGTAACGCCTTAGTTTATATGTTCTTTAATAGAACGATTTCACATAACGATACAAAAAATGCAAATAGGTTTATTTTATGCAAATTTATTGACTGTAATATGAATTCATGTAATCATGTAATACAGACTCTATTCTCTCACACATGCAGAACTGTACCATGCAGCATCTAGTWCAAGCTTAGCTTCAAATATTTCAAAAAGCTTGACACGTCTTTCGGATAAAAATACCACAAGATCAATGGCAGGAGGGCACCTTGGGTGTCAACTAATTTTTGAGAAAGCCGAGCAAAGGCTGGCCAACAAAAACTCAAGTCCGTAATTATATTTGGGCTCAAAAAAGACTGTTTTGTTTTGCTCATGATGAATGACAATAAAATCCAATTATRAGATAGGAAACAATGCTGTAATAAGTGAGAAAATGAAGCGTGTATTGCATCATTRCATGARKTWATTTTACAGTCAATAAAATTTGCATAAGATAAACCTATTTGCATTTTTTGTATCGCTATGTGAAATCGTTCTAATATGCAATTACTATCCGTTGAAAGAACATATTATAATATTAAAACATATTATTAAGATCTAAACATGTGATTGCTCTAACATTTGAAAACCAGAAATTACAGGTGTTTGAAATTGCAAAGTCTTAAGTGAAAGTTGGTATTGAGGTCTTACCATCGTCGCTTTCACGTTTTTGGTACATTTCAAATGCTTGAAAATCTGCGGAAATTCCGCAATATTTCCAACTAAGACTCCGCCAATTTACTAGTTTAGATACATTTTTTTCGTAAAACAGTTTTTTAAAAACATGGAACGGTTTAAGGTGCTCATTCCCAATCTGTTCGTTTTTCATATGGTGAATATCCACGAGAAATATTTTTTTGAAATCCATTTCAATTACAGGTCGTGTACTTCACTGCTACCTTTCCCTATGTTGCTTTGGTGATCATTCTTGTACGAGGGGTAACTCTAGACGGTGCAGCACGGGGTATTAGATACTATCTTGAACCTGATTGGGAACAACTCGCAGACCCGCAGGTAAACAAATTCAGTCATTTATTTATGTATTCAACAAATTTTCAATCATTTGCAGATCACCTAATGATCATTCGTTCAATCGTATACAATATGAACAGTAGATCTATATGAAAATTAGAATTCATATGGATGATATAGACAATTATTGAAGCCTGACGACAGAAAACGCTTATTGTGATAAAATGTTAAAAAAAAATGCATAATTCTTTAGAGGAAACCCAAGTGAAGACCACGTGCAAATGAGTTCTCGGTCATTGCTAACAATTTCATTATTGTTTGCCTTATAAATTATGAACAATTTGATAATCTGTAACTAATTTGTTTTATTCTGCACAAAGGTGTGGGTATACGCCGCAACTCAAATCTTCTGGTCCCTGGGTATCGGTTTTGGTGCCATTCTTACGTTTGGTAGTTATAACAAGTTTAGCAACAACTGCTACAAGTACGTAAATCCCTATCCCCGCGCGTCCACAAAGACAAATCTTGTTGCTGTTTTTTCATCGTACGCGCAAAGAAAATCTAAACACGATTATGTGGACAGTACGCCTTTAAATACAAGATAGCTTCGTAAGGGGATTTTGCTCATGGCTAAAAATATATTTGTGAGAACCCACCCCAACCATGATCGTTTACGTGCTATCGTTCTTTTTTTGAAAGCTGAAACTTGGCTTGGAACTTCATCCTTCGTAGCTTTTATCAAACGTTCACTTTATTGAAAATTTCATCAATACCATAATGCACTTCGCAAAAACACATATGACGTCAGTAGGCGATACGACTTTCGCCTCATTCATAACACAGAAAGGAATCAAGGCGAGGAGACGTGTTTGATTCTTGGTAAAAAGAATAGTTTTTCACGAGTGACTGAACGTTTTGCACGGCGCCTCGTTTTGACTCTTGAAGCGTCATTCCAAAGTCGTCTATTATTCTAGTTTTTCCAAGTTAGCTTTAGGATCAAAATGATCGATGCAAGTGCATAATAACATATATATATATATATTTTTTTTTTCGTGCAGGGATAGCATCATCATTACGTCAATCAACTGTATAACCAGCTTTGTGGCAGGGTTTGCTGTGTTCAGTATATTGGGTTTTATGGCGGATGTCTTGAGCTCTTCGATGAAAGATGTTGTATCCACAGGTATGACCGCTGTCCATATTTGCTCACTTCATAGACATGTCTGTTGTTAGATTTTTATGCTATAAAAATAGATTTTTATGCTATAAGAATGAAATATAACTAAGTTGAGCTATGGAAATTAGGAGAACTCGCGGTTGCACACTAACTTGTGAATCAGGTACCGCTAGAATAAACGCTAGATTACATTGGTGGTGAGTTAAGAGCCGATAGAATACGGTGACACCTATGAGAATATTAATAGACTGTTAAGAAGACATATCACAGCAACAAGAGTCAGTCGGTATTCTCTCTGGTAACTAAACGGTCTAAGAGCGTGAAGTCGGGCTAGCTGGTATAGTGCATAATGGAAAAATAGAGAAATAATAACAGGACCATTGCCATAATTATGTAGCTGACTCTATATATTGCCTAGTAGACGGAAGGGGAAACCATGAAGTTTTAGCTTGTATGATAGTCATTATTTGTACGTGTTTTCATACAACTTGTTGTTATTAGTAGTTTGTACATTGCATTTATGTGCGTGCTCTATAACTCGTGTCAAAACTGACCCTATTTTTGCGCATTTGCGAATATTCGACATAAAGTTTCAAAAATTCTTTCCACTGTCAATAACATCCGCTATATATCTAAACTTTAGAGTTACGATTCGGTACATGTGAAATATTGGCTTAAGGTATCAGCGTTCCCAAAACCGTCACATTTTAGTGATTTTTTGATTTTTATATCATTGGAAAGATCGTTTGTAGATCTAGGTATATAGTAAAGTTTTGAAAAGATACGAAGTTTACAACAAAAGTTATTGCGCTCAAAAATATTTTTTAGTCGAAATTGGATTAATGGCGTTGATGACAGCTCACATCAAACGAGTTTTATATACGACCGTTTAGAGTGAGAGTCGATTGAAGCATGCCGTAAATACAAAAGAATATATGTCTATGTGAAGAACTCCAATAAGCAATATCATCATCGTGCTGTTTCGCACCGAGTGGTGCATAAGGCCTCGAATTTTCTCGATTTTCGGTTTCTGTAATAAGTTGTTTTTTTACGGGAGCGGGTTATCAGCCCTCTGCCCAACCCCCAACCTGGAGGACCAGGGATTACACTTAGTCTGGCTTCTACCCTTCGACCTGTTCGGCATGGGTGGCCCTACCAGTAGTACATTACTCCGGCCGACATAGCTCTAGGGGTCATTGTAACATACAAACCGCACCACCACTAT